TATAAAATGTCTTGGTTCTTGGTCAGTTACCATTGAAGGGCATAGGTCAGGTCATGATATTCCTATAAATCTTTTACCCAGCATTGTTTTTTTTGTGGATACTTTCTTTAAGCCTCTTGGAAGTTCATTTGGGGGAAAGATCTAGTTATCATCTTTCTAGAAGTGTACTGAAAACTAAATTCTTCCTATAAAATGCTGGCCTACATGCAAAGCTAAGGAGAAGTTTTTAACCTAGAATACATTATTACTCTCAGTGAGAAGCAAAGTGGAGCTAGTTATATGACGCTTCCCTTCCACTGTTACACCAACTCGGCTATTGTATCCACTAGTAGAAAGGCCCCAGGCCCCACCCTCTCTCTCCCACCCTCTATTCCGTTGCATCCTCTGTGCCCGACTTCTCTGGGATTCCCTTCATTCCAGGTGCCCTCGGCGTCCCGCACCACATCTGTCTGGGCAGGTCTCTTTCCATCTGGTTTCCTTCCCTGGGCTCAAGCCTCTCCTGTCAGACCTCATGTTCCTCTCTGCCCAGGCCTCCCCCACACTCCCCACCACCCCATATCTAACTTCTCAGTGGGAAACTGGTTTGACTGGACCCAAGTTTGTCTCCAGTATTTTCTACCTTCATTCTGAACCCGGTTTTCCCGTGTTGACTTCTGATAGGCACATTATTATTTTTTTTTTTGTCTTGCACAAGAGCCATGAAGCTCCAGGATTAATGTGTAAGGAAGAAGGCAGGGAGGGCTGTGGATGCAACACAGAGTTAAGCCATCCTCAGGGCAAATGCTATTAAGCTGTATGTCCTTTCTCTTCACTTCTCACCAGTGTCTGTGCCCAGCCTGTACCCTGTGCTGAAGGAGGGGACAGGTCTATGTGTATGGTCAGAGGGCTCAGATTTCCTGCACTGTGCTAATATAATTGTTTGGTGTTTGGGCGGGGCTCTGAAGCTGTGATTTGTGCATTGCAGGCCTTGAAAACCAGAATCAGCAACCTGCCCACTGTGAAGAAGTTTCTGCAGCCTGGCAGCCAGCGGAAGCCCCCCTTGGATGCAAAAGCTTTAGAAGAAGCCAAGAAGATTTTCAGGTTGCCATAAAGCTGGTGCAGGGATGAGGCACATGCAAGACCAATCTGCAGCATTTTGCAGCCATGGAGTGCTGGTAGAATTGCTGATGGTGACTACTGTGAAGCTAATAAATTTTTAAAATCATATGCTAATCAAGTCGTGAAAGTTCTATGATCTGACTTGTTAAAATTCATTGCTTTTCACTTATTTTTATTCCTTTTCATTTAAGTCAGATATGAAATGAGATTTCCAATGTCCTCTAACCTCTTCTCTCTTGGAATTAAATGGATTGTGCAAAAGGAAAATGTACATTATGTTGTTCACTTCCCATTTCCAGAGATTGTCCTGTGACATTTGTTATGTGACCTATCAAAAAATTATGAATGGAAATTAGAATTTGACACTTTGGGGTATAAGCTGGAAAAGCGTTACTATTCTGGGGAACAGCATAACAGAATTTTCTTCTTATCTTGGAGAACCATGTTATTTCTGATAATAAAGATCTGTCTTACCCACTTTCAAACAGCTGTTCCTGCTGTGACTCTCTGGTGTTCTAGGAGCTGAACGCAACAGAGAAGAAAACAGACCCTCTGGGTTCTCAGGGGGCCCTGCTGTCCCCCACTGCAGGCGCGTCCTCACTCTGCCCGCGGGTTCTGGGGCCT